CAACACAATCAACCAATCCGCTTCTTATCACTACTCAATCGGACGTCATCTCACTCGTGTAAGCCTTCAAAGCTTCTCTTCCAACAGCCTGCAAGGGTTGCAACCGCAACACAATCAACCAATCCGCTTCTTATCACTACTCAATCGGACGTCATCTCACTCGTGTAAGCCTTCAAAGCTTCTCTTCCAACAGCCTGCAAGGGTTGCAGCCTCAACAAAAACTACCAATCCACTTCTTATTACCACTCACTTAGATGTCATCTCGCTCGAGTGGTAGTGAAACTTGACGCCAGATTGCCAGTATGACCAATCACGTATTATGTCTCCCATTGGCTGATCACCCTCGACACCATTGAAGTGTGCTGGTACACCGATTGCGATCAACAGATAGACGACCGACAAACGGAGCGAATGGTAAAGCGAATTTGCAAGCCTACTACTAGCCTGCAGATAGTTTTAAACAAATCAATCGTTCCAAAATGTGCTCTTGTTTAAAGATACCAGCACATTCTGTGCCGCACCAATGCGCGCCTGAAGGAAAGCCGAGGCGTTCTCTCTCAAGTCAGACCGTCCAATCGACGTGACCGAAAGCGTCTATACGACTGCACTCGCGCACATCGTCACATTTGTTTGTCTTCCCTTTGGTGTGGCCACAGACTCGACCCCAAAGTGCATCGCGTGATGCGCAGCGGACCAATGTGGTCCAGACCACACGAGTTTACTGGGCTATGAGTGCCGAAGAACGGGTCAACTACCAACTGAAGTGATCGATAGTACTGGTTCACCAGCGGTTTCCTTGTCCTGCCGAGGGTGCTCAGCCAAAGGGAGACATAATACGTGATTGGTCATACTGGCAATCTGGCGTCAAGTTTCACTACCACTCGAGCGAGATGACATCTAATTGAGTGGTAATAAGAAGTGGATCGGTAGTTTTTGTTGAGGCTGCAACCCTTGCAGGCCGTGGGTGAGATAACAGTGTCTGTCTGTTCCAACTACTCACCTGAATTACCAATAAAATGCCTGCGTCGCCACTAATTATAAGTCTTGCGTGCTTTCTAGCAGGACAGTGTGGCATGTATAAACATCGTAGTTATTGTAACCCCTTTAGGTGCTTCTTTTTTGAATAGTGCTGATTTCATGAGGATAGCATGCCAGTCCATGGACGTAATAGGGATGTGTCACCTGCATTGATTGTGCTTCTAATGGTTCCGTTTGAAGAGCCACTTGTCAAAGCGTCTCAACACGTATGGGCGATCATATGGAAATGAAGCCTAATTATCCTATGAATACATAGGTTCCTATGACCTTTACATAACGCCATACATGGAGACACTGAAGCGACAACTGATCAACAAGGTCGCCTATGGGGGTGGAGACGAACGAACACTCACTAACATCGTGTGCACGCCACACTTGGAATCCTATTATTTTTTGTTGAGTCATCAACTGTGATCGAAGTAAGCTAACTTAGCATTTTCGTTGTTTAGCTTCAGGTTGGTCTAACAACTTCAATGGGAACAATGTCCCCCAAGATCGTTGCAATGACAATAGCACACAATTGTCTAACCGCCTAACAGCCATTGCTGAACTACGGAATACCAGTTAGATGATTGCCTGTCTACGCCACCATGGTTAGGCCGCTGAATAAGCCACCACCAGGTAGCCGCTAGCGATCACTATAGACCGCTTCATGTGCTGGTTAGTATGTCTATCCGCACTGGTTACGTCTTAAGCTTCGGATCATGTGGTAGCTAGGATTTCCTCCTTAGACAGGCATCACAAGTTGCGCATTGGACGGTTTCAGTTTGGAGACCAATCATCGAGCTTTCCTTCAGATAGGCATCAAAAGAGAACAGAAGGTGGTGCTCGACCACTTTCATTGGACTGTCTGTCGCTTATGCTGTGGGCTTCTGACCGGTGTCCCATTGATTTACGTCCCATGACCAATGAGAGTGTCAACGACACCAAAACAGCGTTCTTAGCCTCGCTAACTTGAAAGTACTGTACGCGATTTCGAAAATGTGCCACGCTAAAAGCTTGGTACAATGCACTAACATGCGTGTAAAATGGTATATCTTTGAGCGACTGTGAAGCGCAAGCCCTTCTAAAGCCTCCTTCCTTTAAACTGAACAGAATATCACGCAACGTTTGATTGGTGTGCTTTACGTCTTGTGTTCACCTCGAGTCTCTTCACTGTCGCTCTGATTCGCGTTGAATATCTTCGGTCTGTGGTTACGTATTCTGTTTGGACTAAAGGCTCTTCAGACGGGGTCATTTAATACGTATCCAGCAAGATGTCTAACGATAATGGAGCTTGTTAAATTGGGGCGTCCCTCTCACTTCGAAACTGGGTCTAATATGATTTACATGTCTAGTCCATATGATGGAATCCACTTGTATTCTGTACAAAACACTTGAAATCCTTTAACAACACGACCAGGAATCTAGGATGATTATCCTTCACGAAAATTCTTTACGTGCACACCATCACCAGGTACGAAATGCCAGGCGCATGTTCCACGATGACGATTAAAATCCAACTCCATTTTAACATTGCGCTCTCCCTTGTATAGCAATGGCTTCAAACCGTCAAGGACCGTTCTGACACGCCTATCGAGAAACGCTTCGGGTGGGAATAAGTTTTGAGTTACTACTGAACCTGGCGTAGTACGGTAAATCTGCAAACATTTGTCGATGATTTCCTGGATATTCCCCTTTCCCTCCCTCAACAAAGCGTTCAGCCTGCCGGTTTGACTGTGGATCGTACGCTGGAGTGCGTATGTGTTCGATGCCATTTGAGTTGCAAAGGTCGGCAAATTCTTGAGAAGTGAATTGGGTGCCATTGTTCGAAACAATCGTTTCGGAAACACCGCATTCTGATATAAGATGTCGTAGGTGTAACAAAACAGCGTAAGTGGTTGCGTATCTCATTTGAAAAATTTCAAGCCACTTTAAGTATGCATCAACGATTACCAGATAGTGGAAACCCTCCAAGGGTCCGGCAAAATCAATATGCATGCGAGACCATGGTCCACTTGGAGTTTGCCAAGAATAAACCTCACATTTGACAGGTAGCTTTGCTGTCATAGCGCAGCTGTTACATCAACGAACCACATTTTCAATTTCCTGGTCCATGAATGGCAAGTAGGCATAGCTGAGTGCTACGGATGTCATACGACTGATTCCCCGGTGACCTTCGTGCAACTGCCTAAGAACCTTCTTCTGTAGCATCTTAGGAATCACAGCTCGGTCAGATAACATCAAGCAACCATCAATTGTGGTTAAGGCGAACTTCTTTTACCAAACTGCTCACCATAGCCATCCTAGGAACGTGCAGACCAACCAGTGCCAAGGCACCCCATAATACGTTGTAACTGGGGATCTCTTGCTTTTTCTATTCTAACGGCGTCTGCTGTTACTGGAAGCTGACGTACAGATGTTTGAAATCCTTGTCTAATCTCGGGATCTAAGATAATGCTGGACACAACAATGTCTTCATCTGGTGTATTGGACGTGCGACCGGCAATCAGTCTGAATAATGCGTCAACATGACCAAGCGAAGTAGTACTTTTAAAACGCAAATCGAAATCGTATGCTAATGTGGTGGTTGCCCAACATTGTTATCTGTTTGCCGTGTGAACGGGGATTTCTTGTTTGGTGCCAAAAATAGATAGCAAAGGTTTATGGTCTGTGTACAAAGTAAATTTGCGTCCATGTACCATCTTATGAAATTTCTTAACCGCAAAACGAGAGCTAGTGCTTTCTCTATTTGACTGTAGTTCTTTTCTGCTGCTATCAGCGCACGGGAAACACATCAGTCTTTTGATGTCCATTCGGGAATTGATGCAACCAGACACCAGCGATACCGTTTTGCGATGCATCATCAGCGACAATTGTTGGTAATCCTGGGTCGTAATGAGTTAAAATGTGCTCGGAGGACAATATTTGCTTAATGTCATTAAAGACTTTCTGGCACTGCGAGGACCAATGCCACACTGACTGACACACACTGACACAAACTGGCTAAGTTTAGTTGAGGGCTGGAGAGATCCCCAGTGAATGACCGTAACACGTTCTCTAGATACATGCGGTCGCTTCCTGCAGCTTGTAATAGCGCAGATGACTTAATGTACTAAAACGCGGTTTGTTGATGCTCCACAGAGATATGGAGTAATCGGAAGAGCTCACGAATCCAAATCCTATGATAGTACATAGGTCTTTGTGCGACTAAATTCGGAGACATGAATGCAGGTAAAGCAAGAGGACAGAATTGGTGCAACCGCATTGCCACACGTGAATTTAGAGCAGTATCGTGGATATTTCAAAGAATCAATGAAATGGGACATCTTTGAGAGTAATACAAAAAGTCCAGGTGAACAAATTACAAAGATATTGTATTAACTTAGCAATAGCTAGGGACAACGACTTTCCAATGAGAAAAGCAACGGCCAATTTAAAGGCCTCGCCCGAATGTGTGCCAACTAGCGAGGAATTAAAACGCGGTTGGATGTAATTCGCGGACGATGACTCCGAAAGCTAGTAATAAGGAATCATCACAAAGATGCATCAAATGGTATTTCGTAAGCCCTTATGCGACTGAATCGGGAGATACAAATACCTGTAGAGCCGACGGGCAGAATTGGTGTTATTACACTCTTATATGAGCTTAAGATTCAAGACGGACAGTTTTATTTCTTAAGACTATTATGGCCTCGGCAGTGAGTCAAGGTAACTAAACCTACCTCGCCCCGGTACATGAATCAAGGTTGATGATTCGAACTTGCAATTCTTCCTTGTCTACATGTCGTCTTGAACAGGCGGCTGCTAACCGCACTTACTTTTCTCCACGCTACATTTCTACATATTGTGACCAATTCTCTGAGGTCTGTTCATACTTTTTTGGCTGACGAGCCTACACTTCTTTCCGTCCAAATCATACATTGCGACGCTTTTTATATGTAAACGTAGGAGATTTTAAATGTTTCTTGTATGTTTCACAGGTGAACGTTTGTTAGTGATCTCTGGCTCAGCTCAAGCCCACATAGTCGATCGCGATGGCGAGCCGGTATGCTTCACAAACAAAGGCTTTCAATACATCACGGATCCAGCCAGCGCAAAGGGTCACACTCACGGTTTACATTGGGGTTGCTGGCACCCACTTGACTCCTCGAAATTTCTAACGTGTTCCCAGGATGCCACCCTGCGTATTTGGGATTTGAATGATGCCGAGAGTTTGCTCAATGAGACACGCATTCCCACCCATAAATCGGTCATCAAACCTCGCTCAGCACAAGGCAGAAAGTTGGTTCCCACAGCCTGTGCATATTCCAAGTAAGCTGGCTACTAAACGTGTCGATTCACATTCACTATGCTTATAATTTATTTGTATTGACAGACAGCGGCATCAATCTTCGCCTAAAATTGCACACCAGTTATGTTGCATTATGCTGGTCGCCTGTTTGTTGCTTGCGTTTTTGCTGTTGCTATTCATTCTAACTGAATGTGCTTATGGTCTAAGGTAAACTGAATACTTTATTATGGGAGTAAGTGAAGATTTAAAACTACAACTGCATCGAACTCTAATCGAAAACAATGACATGTCAACACCATCATCGTTTTTTAACTTCTCATGTGATGTCGTAAAAAAAGTATAACACCTCAAACTGGGACTCTCAAGTGTGAGTTGTCGCTAATGAATCGTTTTCCGAATCTAATCTTGGAGAAATGCACATCCAACAATGTTTTGAACTGCCGCACTGAGTTTACCTCCACGGTATGCTCCGGTAAACTGTTCCAATCACTGACCATTAGCCGTTCAAAGCACAGAGGACGGGGAACTCGCTTCAGATCTGGAACCACAAATTCGTACTGGTGTCCGCGTGTGCTGCGACGTGTTCGCAAGTGGCTCAGTGGTTTCAACATAGACAAGTTACCGAGATGCAATGTGCGGTAGGTCATGCCAAAGTTGACTCGTACCCGACGATAGGCCAGGGTATACAGTTTCAGCCTCATGCATCTGACTTCGTGCGCTAAGCCCGTAAATCAGGTATGTGTCTTGTAGCGACGCGTTAGACCCGTTCGGCCTTCATGCACCTCTCCTCTAGTGGTCAGCAATAGGCAGGCGAGCCCTACTCTAGCGTTAGTCATATGATGGCGGAGAAGAGGCGAGTGGCTGATTTCCCAGACCAGATGCAGAAGCTGCTTTTGAGCACCCACCTCATCCATAGTCCCTTCTGTACCCTGTTCCATAGTACTAATTTGATTTTGACTCTATGCTTTGGGTTGGAATACCTACTGCTTACTTGGGTTTTAGCATGCACTCTCTCTGCGTCGAAGCATGTTCCCGGATAACGTAACCAATGGGGATTCGATGCTCCAAAATCACCGCGGACGCCGACTTCCCTTGCTGGGTCAGAACGTTCGTAGCCCTAAACTTAGCAAGGCAGCGGCCACTGGACTTCCGATTCGTGTCTCAACCAGTTTCCCTCCTACCGGATGTTTTGAATACTTACTGGACCTTCGCGGGACCTATTGTTGGTCTGGGATTGTAGAGGACGCCGCGCTTCGAAAACGGTACTTGAAGGGGTATTGAATACCACAATTATGCTCCAGCTGGCCGACCTACACCACCTCCATTTTACTCTTTACTAAGGGGTTGACTTCAGGTAATTTGAATAAACACGTAAGAAGACCAACAGTGGCAGATGTCAACATTTATGTGTGTTTAGTGCCAACACAATAATATGCAAGTATATAAGATGACAGTGGCTCCGTCTACATGCCTCCCGGTCTTACTCCTTCAGGTTTCCGCTGGATATGGGATGTGTGGATGGAGCTGTGGGTGGTGCAGCACAAGTCACCTATATTCTCCCTCTAGGGGCAGTCGTCTTGTGGCTGTCCTAAGGGAGCCGCAGTGACAGGTCAATCCGGAACCGGATGCCGCCAACCATTTAAGACGATTGGTGGGGTGAGACTGGAACAAGTAAGAACAGGGTAGAGGGCAGACATGACACCATGCGCCCATGGCAGCCGTAGGCTTACGAACAACTGTTTCTGCACACAGAGTGCTGCTTTGATACGGCTGATCGCGACTGCCTCTGTGAAACGTAGGAAACGGGCGTTAGCATGTCTTAACATGATTGTAAACAGATGACAGGTTGCCAGTAAATGCCTACCTATGGATGAAGCAGGTAGTATGACCAACCGACGACTGGATGATTTGAAGCGGCAACCATTTAGCTACATGTTGCTTTATTCTAGTCCAACGATTTGTTAGTACGGCCGATGTAGCGTGTACCACAACTACAGGTAATTTGGTAAATGCAATGTGAGTTGACGCCAAAAGGTTGTCTTTCCGTCATTGGGGTAGCAAGTGTTCGATTAGTCCGGTCTATAAGAACAGTCTCAGCAGCATAATAAGTCCTCTGGACTGCGAAGTTATGCGCTTCGTTGTCCTCTTACTTGGCAAAATCACTCTTAAATGGGAACTCGATGTAGCTGTGTGTCAGGTAAACCCAAATTTCGACTGTTGCACCCCACCTCTTTCAATCGAATGGGCTCTTTTTAGTCCTTTTTCCACTCAAAGCCATCAACTTTCAAACCAGTGTACTTCCCAAAATAAGCTGATGGGGATTTCTTGTGTCGAATCACTTTAATAATAATAGGTATATTTCTCAGAAAGGTGAGACACGTTCCAGAGACCCTGGACCGATCATTATGTACAAGTTTTCTCTGAAACTGAAATTGTTTATCGGATACGAGGAGATTCGTATTGAGTGGGATTGGATACAAGTTGTAATTTATTCTTATGCAGATCCAACTTTCTTCGGTAGCAAGTATCTCATCGTACCGTTGAACGAGTTGTGGTCCGGATCAACGTAAATAGAAGGGAAATAGCAAGTATTAGTAAGTATTAGTGCGATGGAGGCCGAAAACTTTCTTGTCGTTGGCCAACTTGAATTCAAGTTTTACGCAACTTTCCTGAATGTCATGCTGAATTCATACGATCTAACGGAGTCCATCATCGTTGCTAACTAGTCGATTTCCGGCAACCTTTTGGCTTAGTACAGTCTCTGCTTCAGCCACTGCTCCTGTAATGGATCCGGGATATGATCACTTCCCCTTGGCATCTGCTACGCACTATCCAGTTTTAGGTTGACTGTCGAATGAGCAACACTGAAGTTCACTGTCTCGGTTTAGCTTCTATAGCTGTAATGGACCGCCTGTTAAACTTGTACCTCCTATGCTGATTAGTACACGGTTCTCTCACACCTACTTACCACCTATCTTGGTGATTGTTGTTTGTTTGAACTGTGTCCGTCAAAGTGGGACCTCAAAGCGTTGTGGCAAATTGATCGGCAGAACTCGACTCCGAGAGTAAGCTATAGGCAATTTTGCGATTTGAGTCACTGGAGTGACCGTATCTTTGGTCGGAAACCCCATCTGAAAGCAGAGTCTATCGATGTACTATGCTCTTGTGTTTTGTCATTTTTCTTTCATCCCATCTATCTCATGATTCGAACTTTTTCACACTTTCTCATTGGCTTTTTTCCATTTTGGCAGAACCTATGTTTGCTTTTATTACAGAACCACCACACTTTGGTGGTCGAAACAATAGAGGAACTGATCTAATTTGTCTTTCCCAGTTTGACTGCTTTTTACTTGTCTAGTTACTTCTAAGTCCTAATTTTTGATCTCCATTCTGGATGTGGGTCTCGGTTTGGCTTGATCTTGAACATGTCCGTTCCTCTGTTGTTGAATATAGTTCATTAGCATTACATTAAATGGACTGAAGAGTTGGTGCATCTGGGAATTCGTTCTTACCAATACTAACACGCTGCGTCTCAGCGAAGGACCTTCACGCCTGTTCTCTGACATTTGAGTGGGTTGTACCCAAAAGTAGTTAAGATGATCTGGCTGATATTTATTGTTTCAATCCTTTAGTACATGAATTCAGGTCCACCTTCCGTTCGATGCTCAGTGTGTATGTGTGCTCTCATGCACCCTACCCCGTAAACTAGAAATTGTTGGATGGATAAATATTTCTATTTAACTCTACTTTGTAACCTATTACACTTGTCGTCGCTTCACTTTCTGCTTCTCCATCTGTCCGTAGCCTAAAGGTAACAAGCTTGCAGTGTAATCTGACGACGCGGGTTCGGGCCTGCGTAGGGACAGGGTGACTCTCGCAGTATCCCTAGTCCACGTGCAACTGGAGGTGTTTGCGTATCAGCGAAGCGTCGGTACTGCGTACCGGCGTACTGCTGATGCTCCTTCTGTTTCTCCAGAGCATAAAACCACAACCTGGAATTTATCTTATCGCATTACTTTTATGCTTCGCAGGCTCATTATTATTTGCTTTTTCATTCTAATGTTTGCTATCTTACCACAAACCCTTAACGAAGATTAAGTAGTGATACTACTTTCGGGCACTGGTCAGTGACCGTTACGGCAAGCGTTGCTCGCTTCGGGCCGGTAATCCCAATAACCCAGATTCCAATCGCAGTACTCAAATCCCTGCCTGCCGACTGCCTGATGAGCTGTCCTGCCTTGTATTGTTGCAAGCTGGCAGCACTTAACATTCATCTTTGATGAAGAGATTACTCTATCAACACTCCTGTTTTGCCCTCAAGGGCTTCTATCTCAAATCACCGCTGCTTACTTTGCCCTTCTTCAGAGATGGACAAACAATTGCTGCCGGTTGCCAAGATGGCTCGATACACATGTGGGATACGCGGAAGCTGTTCGTCAACACATGCCAGCTAGTTCGCAACGCTCATGCACTCAACACGAACATCACCTGTGTTGCTTGGTCCTGGGACGGGAAACAGTTGGCGAGTCGCGCAATGGATGATACGGTCAAATTGTGGGACACTCGGGCGCTAAGCAAGGGTGCTGTGCACATACAACACAATCTACCCGTTATTTTCGATCAGACGGAGGTTACCTTCAGCCCGAACGACTATGTCGTGGCCACTGGTGTTTCTGCACCACGAAATGATACCAAGGCCGGGTACATCGGCTTCTTCCGCAGGAACGATTTTAAGGTATTGTTGTGTTCCTAGTCTCTGCTTCCATATTTGATACGGTTTGATTCCAGTGCAACCTTTCTAAACATCCACCGCCCTAAATTTATCCCACACGCTCGCATACAATGACTGATGATCAACTAGCAGTGCTTATCTCTTGCAACATAACACTTTGGTAACCTCTTGTATAGGAATTCGGAAGCACCGAGTTAGTGCAATTACCATTACCTCGCTATAGTATGTCTCGCTGCTATTCGTTTTTAACGTGCCGACCCACTCTGTCGTAGAGATTACGAAGTTGATTCGTTCCCATGACATGCTTAATTCATACCTTGAAACCTGATGACTTTTAACCGAATATTTTCTAGTCGACCTAATCTCTCCTGTTAGCCTTTCTGCTGATAGCATTTACTATGCTTTTGTTGAGTCACTGTATGGTTTCAGATAATATCAGCCAACTGTCTATCGGTTGCGGCGGGTACATCATAGCTTATTCGGAAACTTGTCGGTCATTGTGTGGGACTGTCTCTCAACCGCACTCATGTCTGGTCGACCACTTGCAGCTGGAGACAAATTCCTTATTCCACAATAGAATCCGAGCGCGGTTTGTTGACCATAGACGTTTTATCAGTGTTAATAGCTTCATCGGTTATTCCTCACTGGTCGAATAGTACTGCACACCGATTGATGTAGCAAAACGCAACGGTTTTCTTCATGAAGAACAACGTGGGAAAGGAAATTCACTGGGAGCAATAGGGATTAGTATTTTATCCGTATTACCTATAATGCCAAGAGTTAACTGGTGACCTGAGTTTAAGAGATCGTTTCGAAGGGGCACCCTGTACTCTGCACGGCTGTAACGTGTGCGTCAGTCGAGAAAGATCTGTGCTATTTCACATCTTATAACTTAGCTGCGTTAGCTGCTGAAGTGCCCCTTGATCTATTGATCTTAATCACAGGCTTGTTGCATTAGGGTTATCGGCTTTATCCCTACAGAGGACGGATTAATTGCACATTGCTGTTCATTTCCGAAGGAATGAAGAGACCAGATGTATGATGGATATCTGACGGAGTCTATCGGTGATGAAATCAATTGAAGTGAAAATTACCTTTTTCCTTTTTAGTTGGTCTATGAGTCGACACACACTAATCGTCATCCGATTCGGTGCATTTATTGTTATCAGGATATCACTTAAGCAACTAGTTCGAATCCACCTAAAGGGGCAGGCTCTCCATGATCAATCAATATTTGTCAAGCTCACATCATCGGTTGACATTTTGCTGGGCCCTTCTGAACATCAGTCGAAGATTGCTTCACATTAACCAAGCCCTGAGTGCAATGTCATTCAGGCGCTACCTCAGAACATGCTGCTTATTCGCTCACCCCAAACCCTAACGTTCTCTCTGCACGCCTTACAGTATACTTCTTTAGTATCCCATTGTGAACATTAGACATGGAATGTCAATTGTACCATTCAATTTTCCCACAAATAGCCTTTAGAGTCGCTGCACCCTGGACATGGAAGCGTAGTTCGCGTTATTTGGCATCACCGGATCAACCAGATATTTTGCGCATCTTCCGACGGTACGGCAAATGTACACTACGATCTGAGTTGCAGTTACAACGGCGCTCTCCTGTGCGCTGAACGACAGGCCACTGCAGCCACTCGTCGACGCCACCTGGGTGGTGATGAAGCCTACATCAAACCCTATTTGATAACCTACAACGAGGACACAGTGCGTACAACAAGGAAAAGTAGGAAACTCCCTCCTCAGCCTACGAACGACACAGAAGCCGCCCTGTTTGCCATTCACAATCAGCTGCAAACGGAGCGACAAAGTGCCGCCGCAGCAGCCAACGATAAAGCCAAAGCTCGTGTCCCCGTGCGGGAAGAAACTTTGGGCAATCGCGTCGGTAGCCTTCACCAATACATGGTGCAGCAGATCGTGTTGAAGAAGAATGAAGCTGAAGAACGAGCCGAGAAGGATATTCGCGGAGCGATTTTACGTCACGCTGACGCGGCTAAGGCTAAGCCGTTTTGGACGAAGGCTTATCTAGAGTAAGCTGTTGGCTCATGCTTTTATCTCGCTGTCTGCCACCTTGATCCACTTTGTATGAGCTAATCCATCTTTTTTTGCCGCTGCTTCCGCATTCATCTGCTCCGTGCACTCACTGTGTCGTGTTACCTGAGTTCGGGTTTTTTGCTTGCAATTTACGTTGCGCGCGCAGATGGTGTCACGGTTTACCCAACGCTTCATGAGTGTTCACTCAGTGAATCGTGTTAGCCGTTAACATTTTTGCTTGAAACTATTGATCATTTAACAGGCACTCACTTAACTCTCATTGTCTGATGACACGGACATGACTACGTGGTCACTTAAGTGGGTTGCATTTTAGGTCGCATTGTTCGCAACTCAACTTCCCACTTGCTGCTTTTGTTACCGTATCCACACATAAAAATGCTTGTACGTGCACGTCTGACCACTGGTTCTCGTTGAAGCGAATGTAAAGTATAATTTTCTTCCGAACTTTATGCGACTTACTGATTGAAATGCTCTCTCGTAAAGTCTCATTGTTGACGAAGAAAAACTTCCGTTACTAGGGCTTGCTATCCTATTCTGTCTCAGTTCATTCATATCGGGATCTTACGTTTATGAATTGAGAATAGCAATTCCTTTGCGTTATATAGTCCTCTGAAAATCAACTCAAAATCTGGACACCTGTTATACACGGGCGGAAGTGTCATTTAGACCCTACCTGAGTTTGAACCATTGTTCCATTGTTTCATTACCTCGTTCTGGCTTTTTGTCCTGTGCTGTTCAGTCGCGTTCATTGGTCCGCGCTCATTATTTATCTGGTCGACCGGCCGGTATAAAATCGAACCAGTTCCGGATTGTACATCTTTTGGATGCAATTATGGTCAGTTCGCGTGGGCGGTACTTGATTGGTTTTCTGTCATCTGACCTCATGTCGGTCCCTTTCGCCCAATTTATCAGTTGTTGTCCTCACATTCAGGAATCGGTCAACCAAAACGCCGGATTGTTGGCCACATTTGATGTTTCAGCTGCATCACACATCGCTTTCACAAAGCTGTCTTATTGCTTTCCATGTTCTGCATGAGTGGCAATCGAACTCCTTCGTGAGAGAACATGGCTCAACATAATGGTTGAGTGCATTTACTTTCAGCATCTTCTTTCGCATGTGGATACATTTGTGGGAGGGAGCTGCAAACGATACTTAAGCATTTTTGAAACCGACTTTGCATTCATTGTGCGTTATGTGGGCTGTGGGGATCACGGTAAGTGCCCTGTCCAACATTTCGTCGAGACGATGCATCATCTGTACACTGGAATCTTGAATTTGATCTTCCCTACCACGCAACCACTAGCCTGCTGGTTCTGTGAGTTCACACGCACCTACGCGGATTCGAACCGGTCTCGAGAACTACAAGCCGTGCACCTGAACTGTTGCTCTCAACGTACAGTGGCTGAATGCCACTGCGTTCAGTCGAAAGCATTGTTTACGTCGGACAATGCTTCAACACTCTTGAACACATCGCATGCTATGTTGTCAGTGTGTTTTGCACCTTGCACTTATTATAAAAAGGTTTTCGATCGGTAACTCCTACCTTTGTTCTTTGTCCTTGTGGTTGAAGTTGCTTTTTTCTGGGCACTTCGGTGTTTCTACTGTAAAATTCGAATACACCGTCTTTTATCGTCTTCGGTCAAGTTTTGCACTGAACCTGTCTCTCTTGAAAGGGAACCTACATTTACTTATTCCTTCTCCGCTGTCAAGCTCATTTGTCGGTTGCCATCATTTCCCAACTTATCCTGAGGTGGCCTGCCCATCTTCATGTTATAAGCCTCATATGAATCACATTTTGGCTATAGTATTGAAGACGGGTAGTTTAGGTTGTTCAGATGGCGGTCGAACTGTTCGCTGAGCTTGGCAATTTTGTTGCAAACGTTTCGTCACCAATCGAGATGACATCATCAGTGCGTAGTTGATTGGCATGCAGTAGCGTAGAGGAGCCTCGGTGAGAGTACGCTGAGGGTGGTGTGTGAACCACATGATTTCTGCTAGTGGCTCCTCTGTGCCGATTATACGGCATCAGCGGAACTTTGGGTCATCTATCCGCATCCAATGAAGGCCACTGTCCCAGCCATATACAACGAAATTACATCGAGGTCATATATCTGATCTACGAGATTCCGTGTGATTTCTTTTGGAAACCGGTTTCTCATCAACTGGTAATCTTAGGCGAAATCAGAAATTTGTGCTATTGACAAAATCATGCTCCACGTAGCAGCTGCAGAATAGCGTTTCACGATCTGAATACGCTGTAAAGTACCTGTATTTGTAGGTCATCCAATAATCCTTTCGTTTATGCGACAACCTGTCATCTACTAAACGTACCGTGGCGAAGCCGGCTCAGGCCTCTTGCAAGTAGGTAAACATGCCAGGTCACGCGCGTGAAAGTTGATCCAACTTGTTTGATTCCAGAATTAATGCTTTTCCAAGAATTTGCCTTCCCTTGTGTACAACTAGTGACTCCACCCCGACCTATATGGCTGACGTCCAGTCGACCACAGCAACAGTTTCGGTATTGGTTACCAACTCTCATATCTCGATCAAATTTATTGTGTTTGCACGTCTTGGCAACTAATGGGCTGCGGCGATCCACAATACTGAACAATGGTGACCTCATCGAGAAATGGGCTGTCAGTTCTTTGATAATCCTGAGCGCGTCATGTGAATGTACTGACGTTAGACTTGCTCCACGATGGGCGCTTGACACGAATCATCTCGATCAAAATAGGCATTTCACTCATAGATATAAGGTTGTACAGGCCTTTTGTCCATAACGGAAGTTCGCCGTTGCCGAAACGCAACAGCGCCTGGCTTGTATTCAAAAGTTTCCCGGTTTGAATCTGTTTAGACATGAGCGACTTCACAGTATGCCCAGCCCACGTTTGCTTCGTGCTGGTCACGTGGCAGCGATACGACGGTACGATGTACCGGCATATTGCTGATGCCCATCTTTCTCGTTCCGACTGATATAATAATGATGATCTCCATATTGGTTAAAGAGACCCAAATGCTCTCACAGGTCGCTGCACTTCACCAGAAGTATTCTATGGTCATCGTTGGGGTCCTCATATTTTCGTACATGCTGCGTAACGCACGTAACATTTGAGCTCAGGAATTCCGATGAGATCAACATAGCCATGTGCACAGTGTGGTTTCGCTTTGATCCCGATTTCACCGTTTCTCGTATGTGGGTAGATATGGCGAACGCTGTTTAACCCATCTTGCGTTGTTTGTTCCAACATTGTCGGAAGCCGGCCAAATGCACTCATACCTGTTGTGTCACGTTATATTCCACATTTCATGCACTGGGCTATCAACTGAGCGTTGTCGGCGTTTACTTGAAATCCATGTTTTCGTTCATATTTTGTGTACGAATTGCCGGAACGAGATACAGCCAGAGAAATAATAGTAGAATCACAAGCCGCCATGTAGGCTGAATCCTACCGTTGCGAGACGTTACGTGCGTTTGGGCCAGAAAGCTAACCCGAAGCGCCACTTGATTTCAACTGAACTTTCCTGCTCCTCCCCTGCAAATTCACCGGCCCAAACTCCCGCCATTGTATGTAGCCCAGTTTCACCTGACATGAGCCTTTTACCTGTGTTGTACCGAAGGTTCTATGAGGGACGATGAGCAGGTCGTTCACACTTCAAACACGCCTGGTTGTTACTGCTGCGGTCTGCGTGTAGCCTTTATCAACGTTTGCAGTCTTATGAACAAGCGTGATGAACTATGTCGTTTCGTTGCATCTACACGGCCAGTTGTATTGTAACTCGCAATAACGTGTCCTAATTCTGGGGTGATTTCTCAGGTATTCGACCTCCATCGCTAATCGTCCTTCCGCTGTGATAGACTATCGACTGCCCGCGGTGGCGTCTTCCTCTACATTCGATCCACTTTGTTTGAGACATGTGAGCGCCTACAGAAGCGTCGATGGCCTGTGTGAGCAGCTATTTTACTCAATCCACCTCAGATGCGGAGAACTGCTCGATGGGTGCAGTTTATCGCAGTCCTCTGAGCCGTTGTTTAGATTCGCCGACACATCTTCGAAACCACATGAGCCGTCCCCATTTTCTACCTATGGGTCATTTCGATTGCTCTGGAGTACTTTGGCCTAAAGTCTGACTCATCTCCGGATACTGCAAGGTCGAAGCAAACGTCGCGGACTTGGTACTTGGAAGTGGAGCCAGTCTACACGTATAAAGCCACGCCTAACTCCATTGTACATAATTTTGATGTTAACAAGCTGTGAACATGTGTATAACGTTAAGATCCTGGAATTCCTAGTAGCAAACGGCCACTCAGTGCCCATAGTCAACATTTATCTACCTTTATCGTATTCCCGTTCTCTGGAGCCAGCTTACAATATTTGAAAACCGACTCCGATATCCCAACTCGATCCGCGAGCCAAGTGGATTGATCTCTGCCGTAAGCTTCATATGCAGCAGACTGTTGGACTGTTATACAAGGAGAGGCATTACTGTGTTCTCGGTTTACCACTGAAGTGTCGAAAAGTTGAACCAGTCAAGCGACATAAGTTAAACAAGGAGTATGGTAATATAGCTCGACGGCGGCGCAGATTGTGGGACAAGTTCCTCCTTTCCAGCTCTTCAAACAACTACGAGCCGTATAGGAGGTAGCGGAAGGTTTGCAACAGTGAAAAACGAGGAGCAGCTCCCGAAGGGCGTCCCGAGGAGTCTTTGCTTCCGTGTAGCGGCCTCTTGAAGCTGACAGGTGATCTACTGGTGTTAAATGGCACCGGTGAACAGATTCTAACCAACATTATGCGTGCGTCCGCGTTGACAACACATTTCGCCTCCGTGTTCACAAATGATCAGGTGTCTACTGATTTTGACGTGTACCATCATCGTCATCACTATACACGCTAGCTAGAGCTGGGAAACACCTCAGCTACTGTGCCGCCACACATAAAGGAAAAGAGAAATAAATACAACAGCTGAGCTACCAAC